ATAAAGAAATGTTTAAGAATCTCAATTCTCAAATAATTAAATTAACATAAACTCATTTTATTTAAATCATATCCTATTTTTTGAAAATTCTTTATTTAGATCCTAAATATTTTCTCTACATTGGAAATGGATTTTAAAATTCATACTATAAAAACAAAATTTTTAACAAATAAAGTTAGAGTACCATATTAAATGTTTTTTAAAAGTTTAGGGGGCAGCTGCTCCTCCTTGTCCTTCGTTGGATCCGTCCCTGCTGTCTATGGAATCAACAGAGCTGTTGAAGGTCTTGAGAAGGTAACCAGTGCCCTATTTGATAATATCCTTAATGTGGTTGAGCTCCCCTGCAGCTTCGTATTTAGCACTGCACTCAATGACACTCAAGCTCAACATGGTCATGGCAAAAGATGCTAGTAAGTTAAACTTGATGGCATCTCCTGCATCATAATAGGCACGCACCATCAGGGACGGAGCCACGGGGTTACAAGGGGGGGTACTCGCCCCCCAGACTTTTGAAAAACTTAAATGGGTCCTATACTTTAAAAAAAATCAAATAAACCCTTTTTGATAAAAATAAAATGATATGTTTTAATTTTTATTCTTTTATAAATCTTATGATAAATTACTAATCATTTGACAAGTAAAATAAATTTAATAAAATATTTTTATTTATTTGACATGTTTGTGATGCAATATATACATAATTAATGACTATTTGTATCAAGCAACAAAATAAAATTAACTTGAAATTGATATTATTGATTCTTTAGAACATTTAGTTTTACTATCTAGATCTTATTGAATAATATTTTGTGATAAAAATTGTGTTTTATATTGAAATTTAAATATACATAAATTTTAACAACTTTTTCTACATTTAATATCTTTAAAATTTTTATTTTTTTATATTTAAGTCTTAATCTTATTTATAAATTACAAGTCAAGAAAATCATTTTTAGCATATACATTTCAAATAGCACTTCACTCCCCCTATGATTATTTTCTGACTCCGTCCCTGCCCACCAGGTCTTTAATCACAGTGTAGGAATCGGACTTACTGTCTTACAGGCAAGAGTTACCCCTCCAGGACACATGGTTGAGTTTTGGCAACTTGGTAGCTGGAAATGCCATACATATCAAGAGATTGATTTTAATAGATAAACTTGCAAATCCTAAAGTAGAGTTTTTGGTTGCTTATGAATTTGATAAATTTTTAAGATTATGATTTTATATTTAACACTCTTGTAAAAAGCTATCGATTTGGCTGCTTGTAGCATCATAGAGTATGATGAATGTATGGTTAATTCATCAGTTCAAGGGGAAAGAAAGAAAAACTCGATACTTCAAATAGAAAGTTGTTATTCTAATTTACACACCTAAATTATAAAGAAATCTATACAACCACTAATAATGAAAGAAAGAAAATGCAATTAAAATAAGCATATTCACACCATATGAAAGCAACCCACTAACATAGCACTAAAGATACAACCTAAGTTCAAAGTAGTTTTTACAAATGCAGATACTAGAACAGAACCAGTTAATAAAAACACAATAACATTGATAAATTGACTTCTCTACGAAGCATTCATCAAACAAGTGGCATGCTTATCAAAAATGAATTGCATAACCAACGAAATAAAATAGGCAATGCACCAGCTATCGAATTCACCCCTACATTATTCTCTGTTGAGATTTTCCCTAAAACCCATTTTAGAGCTAAAAAAATAATAATTATATGATAAAAAGAATATATTCACAGGTTCCCTAAAATTGAAATTCATGGACAGAAACAATAATTTAAAGAAATTATCAACAAAATTGCTAAAAAAAGCTTTATTAATTCAATTTAAGATTAAATATCCAACACTGTAGGACTTAGGAAAAACTAGAGAAAATCATCATCAAACTTACCTAAAAA